CTGCAGGGATGGGGCACCCACAGCTCTCTGGGCAGCCTGTATAAATATTTTGCTCAAATTTCAACCACTTCTGTAGATAACTGCTGGGGAGGGAGGGAAGGGATGCAACTTCTTCATTTCCCGAGAAATAATACAATTAGCTCTACCAGTGATTAAAAGGTTATTTGCAGACATTGGTGGATGATCTCAAATACAGAACAAAATCTGAAAGATGGATTAGCAGCATCATAAGGCTGGGGAGCTATTAGATTAGTCAGAGGCTCTACTCAGAGAGATCTAGCATTAGTTTACATATTAACGAATTAGGGAAAATGGTCTTTTGTACAAAACAGGATGTTAGGTCTACTGCAATGCAATAGTTAATTAGAAGGAATGTTTTTTTAGTCAGAAGACCTGCCTCTGACAGCAGCCATCGTCATGTGAGAACACAGGAATGAAGTCACATATGATGCTCACCCTACCAATGCAGCATTCACCATGGCCATTACAGATTACACTAGAACCTGAAGTGCAGAACATGGTTATTTCCACAATTGGCTTTAATGTGTGCCCAACAGAAGGGTTGTTGATTTTAAGAAAGGAATTCTTCATCCTTAAACACTGAAAATAAGAAAGAAAGGGACAGACACTTTAGTGGGGTCTGTGTGGTAGGAGAAGGGGAAATGGCTTGAGACTACAAGAGGGGAGATTGAGGCTGGAGCTGAGGAAGAAGGTTTGGCAGTGAGGGCGGTGAGGCGCTGGCACAGGTTGCCCAGAGAGGCGGTGGTGCCCCGTCCCTGCAGACAGCCAAGGTCAGGCTGGACGGGGCTGTGAGCACTGCTGAGCTGTGGGTGTCCCTGTGCGCTGCAGGGAGCGGCACCAGGCGGCCTTCAGCTCCCTTCCACCCAAACCATTCTACGATTCCATGTTCTGGCTGGGAGTCCAAGACTGAGAGCGCACACAGTCAAAAATAATGTGAAAAACAGTCCTTATCTGCCCATCCTTTCCACCAGGCTGAGCACTGTTCAAGTGGGTTGTGTTTGGAGCAGCTCCAGCTTGCAAAATTCTTAATCTGCCAAATGGTGAACATGGTACAGCCTGCCCTGTACCCACGTCTTCTCCAGGAGTGATAGGAACCAATGGCTCTGCACCAGCAGCCTGCCAGGCAGGAGCCATAGCACCCTTTTCATTACATGGGTAAAGGCAATGAGGATGGTTTCTAGAAGGAGATTATTGCTGGAGGAAGCTATTCATGCATCCTACCATTTGGAAGGAAAACCACTGATCTACAGCGTAAAGAGCCCTCCTGTCTTTCCTGCTGGGCACCTGCTAAGCCTCCGCTGAGCAGGACTGGCAGCTCCAAGGGATGCTGGGTTGGCTGGAACCAATGCTTTGAGCTTGGAAACCTGACTGGGGTGGGAATAGTGCTGGGGGTTCCTCATCACTGAGGGAGAGGAGCTGGGGCTGCTGTGATTCTCCTTCCTGAGCTGCTGTTGGGTCAGTGGCTCAGACATGGGGTAGTGCAGAGCTCTGAGTGGTGCTGAAAAGCAAAACACTGTGCATAGAAAATGTCATGTTTTGAATAACACAGTACTTGAACACCCCTAAAAACCCCCACTGTAAAGGGTTCCCCTAGAGAAAGAGCGTGGAGGAAGCTTTTCCTCAGGCTCTCACAAGGAGTTGATGGGGAAAACTGTTACATCGGATAGACATGAAGGTTGTGCACTGTTGAAGTTAAAATTCAGTTCCAAAAAACCCAAATCTTTATCTCTCATCTCTACATCTGGAGGTGCGCAAGTAGCTAAACCTGCTGCATGCATAATCTTATTGCTGGAGAGAGAGAACCACTAAGAAAAGCAATGAGAAAATATCCAGAGAAGGGCAACAAAGCTGCTGAGGAGTCTGGAGCACAATGGGGTGCGATGGGGAGCGGCTGAGGGAGCTGGGATTGTTCAGTGTGAAGAAGAGGAGCTCAGGGGAAACCTCACTGCTCTCTGCAGCTCCCTGACTGGGGGTTGTGGTGAGTTAGGAGTTGGCATCTGCTTCCAGGGAACAGCAATAGAATGAGAGGAAATGGCCTCAAATTGTACCAGATTGGATATTAGGAAAAATTTCGTCTCCACAAGAGGGGTCAGGCAGTGGCACAGCTGCCCAGGGAGGTGGTGGAGTCACCATCCCTGCAGGTGTTTAAGAACCGTGGAGACATGGCACTGAGGGACACGGTCAGTGGGCTGCATTGGTGGTAGGTGGATGGTTGGACTGGGTGATCTTACAGATCTTTTTCAACTCAGTAATTCTAAGATGAGTAATTCAAGGGATTTTTCATCAGCATGAGCAGCAGCAGCAGCAGCAGCAGGTTCTATGGTTCTCAGCTAGGTCCAAATTCACAATGTTTTCCTAATTCCTGACCTTGCCTCCTCCTCAGTGCCTGTGGATGCCATGCCCTGCAGATCCCTGTTCCCTGCCTGCTGCTCCTCACTCTCTGGGCCAGCAATTCACCACACACAGCAGCTCAGGGCTAATATGCAAGGAACAACACAATTGCTCCAGGAGCTGCTTCCCCTCACACAGAGCTCCTGGACAGGGAAACAAAGTACCTCCTCCTCCTCTTCCTCCACCTCCCTCCTCCAGCACAACACCATCGCCCTTAATTGCGGTGCCTGCAGTGCATTCTCGGTGGAGCCCAGAAAACAGCATCAGGAGACATCTGCAGGACAGAGGCTGTCAGTTTGACAGCTTTCCTGTGGCCCATCGATTCCACATCTTCTGAAGAAAATGACAATATTCAGGAAGGCACTGTAGTGTACAAACATCACTTAGACATTGATTTCTGGGAAATAGAAATGCCTTTGGAGCAAATCTGTCTCTGAACACCTTTCCCACGCAGCCTCGGGCCAGATTGGAGCTGCAAAGTGTGGGGAGGAACCAGGGCTGGCATCGGGCACAGGGCTGTGACCTTGCTTCTCCATCCTGCCCTTTACCGCTCGGTAAATCCGCAGCTGGATTAGCTGAGGCACGCTAACAATCCGTGTGGGCTCCCAGCTGGAATTAAGGTGGCTTTGCCGCAGTTAATTCAGGATGGAATTTGTTCTGTTTCAGGGCTCTGCCCACACCTGCGTCCCACGGCCCTGCATGAGCAGCCCTGATTCTGTGCTGCCCTGGCAGCGGTGTGCAGAGCTCCGACCCCATTCCCACAAGGCTGCAGGTGCCAGTCCTCCCTCTCCCTTACATTTATGATCCCATCCCCCAGCCTCCACCCATGCAGCTATTTGGATAAAAGCACTGAAGACCCCTCCTTTCAGGGCGGTTTTCTGAGTGTTGCTCTGTCCTCTGCTGAGAAACCATCGGCAATGAAGGGCCATGAAGCACCGTCCTGTTCTGGGCAGCACCAAGAGGCATTTCCCAGTTGGTCAGGGACACTGATCCTCCCTTCCTGCTTGTGAACTAACACCGGACCTTCCTGACTTTCTCCTAAAATGAAAATACAGGAGAAGGATGGCGGTGCAGTTGGGTTTGCAACCAAAAGTCAGTTTTATGCTTTCCCCCTTTTTTCCACCAGACTAAAAGCTGAAACAGACCAAAGCCATTACACTGAGTTACAAGAAGCACAAGGTCAGCTTATTACTCTGCTCTGGAAAATAACCTTGGTGTTCATCAATACGATGTGACTGCGCCTTGCACAAAATGCTCTTGGAAACAGCTGTGCAAGATGTGCTGAACACAACAGCACTGCAGCTCTAACGTGGGCCATCGCTGTGCCTCTCAGACAGGAACGTGATCGGGTGTGGGAAGGGCAGTGGGAGAAGGGAACTGGGCTGACCTCGAGCTGTTCTGTTTCCCAAACCAGAGCCCAGCCTTTACCAAACCTCCTGGTGACCAAACACCCTTTCATGCCCATTCTTTTTCTTGATCCTGGAATGAATCTGAGCCATGGCTTTGTAATTTTGTGCAGTTATCGAGTTGGAAATGAACCGCAGTCAGAGCTCGGGAGCTGGAACAGCCAAGGAGCTGCACATACCAAATCATTCAACTCCTTTTATACTTTCCAGATACTTTTCCATGTTCCTGCTTTATTTTTTTTTCCCCATCCTGCATTATATGCATGTTTCTGCCTTCTGTAGATAGCTTTGCATTATCAAAGGGCAACAGGAGAAAAGAAGAAATTGTCGCTGCATTTAGCATTGATTTTTCCCCCTTCACTCTGAGTCACATAAGCTAACATTTAATTAATTTCTGACACTTTGACAGTTTTTAAGAAGACATTTGTAGAGCTATCAAGTGCTTCTGATAGCACTGTCAGACAGACACTTTTTGAATTATCAGCCATTAAGGACCCATATGCAACAAATTTCCAGGGTTTATTATACAAATTGTTCTCTGAATGAAAAAAGCGCACAAAAGCTCAGTGAAACATAAAGAAACCATTGTTCCCAAGTGAATTTGATATTTGCAAATGTTTTGCTATTTTGATCACTTACGTGGTTTTATAAATCTGATTTGCTTTGTCTTTTAGTGAGAAAATTAAATGGCCTTTTTTAGGGTTTGTTGAGAACGTGGCCGGATTTTCAAATCACAGTGGTCTTTATGGAGGTGAAGCTTGGCAAATATGAAACGGGTGATCTCAGGAAGTGCTGAGAAGTGAAACAAGGTCTGTTTCAAACCTGAAATCCCAAACAAGCAGCCAAAAACTTCAGCTGCTTTTAAACTTTTTGACCGCAACCTCTGACATGTCCCCTTTATGTAATAACTGCAACTGATAGCCCAGACTGCAGAAATCTGGGGGAATTAACCCAAAATGGAAATGAACTTCCCAAATCCCTGCCCAGGTACCTGACCTTCAGCTTAAGCTGTGCTCTGGATGTCCGTAGCACTCCCATTCAGCAGCTATCTGCACATGGGAATTCAGAAGCAAGGCCGCGTCCGCATGGTCATTTTGGTTTTATTTTACATGACAATATTTAACTGTTTTTCCAACACCTTCTTTGTGCAGGGTGGAGCTGGGACCTGGCAAGTTCATCTTCATGGATCCCCTAAACCTCTCCTGGTACAACACTGGGGACAGGAATTGGAGCAAGCCGCTCAACGAGTCCAGCGCAGACCAGAAGCCTCAGTATAACTACTATGCCGTGCTGCTCACCCTCCTCATCTTTGTCATTGTGTTTGGCAACGTGCTGGTCTGCATGGCTGTGTCCAGGGAGAAAGCCCTGCAGACCACCACCAATTACCTGATCGTCAGCCTGGCGGTGGCAGATCTCCTGGTGGCCACTCTGGTCATGCCCTGGGTGGTCTATCTGGAGGTAGGTGGCCCAGCTTTGTCTCTCAGCACTGAACGGTTCTGGTATAGGAGTACCAAGGGGAAAGGTTTGGCAGTTTGGACATCAGCTATTTCCAGACCTCCTGAACTTCCCCAGAAGTGTTATGAGGGAGAATTTCTTCTCAGAAAGAGTGGTCAGACATTGGAGCAGGCTGCCAGGGAAATGGTGGAGTCACCATCACTGGAAGTGTTTGAGGAAAGGGTAGATGTACTATGGAGGGACATGGTCAGTGGGCAGTATTGGTGGCAGGTTGGACCAGATGATACTAGAGGTCTTTTCCAACCTTAATAATTCTATGATTCTATGTTTTAAATTTCCTAATAGTCGAGTTATTCAATAGACAGACATGATAGCATATGACAGGTTTACTTGAAAATACGCTACTGTTCAGAAGGCTGAATTACCACCCAACTGCTTTGAAAATCTGGCCTATAAATCCAGGGATCAAGAATGAAAGATCTCAAGTTTGTTTTCAGGACTGCACCAACAAACTGTTCCCAAGCACAAGAATGAGCCCGAAACAACATCATGGGTGTCACACTAAAACTGCACCGAGCAGTAATCAGAAACCTATTCCTGAAGGACTAGAGTAGTAAGAAGAGCAAGCAGTTGTAGAAGTAGGTTGTAAATCCAGAGCTTTTATGTCACAATATATAAGAGAAGCAGACTTACAAGTGAGCTACTTGTCACATTACTGCCGTTAGCGTGTCGCTTCGGTACAAAAGAGCTCTATGCTTCTGCAGCACAGAGCCGTACTTGAGTGGCACATTGTTTTAAGAGAGCCAAATACTCCCAAAATACTGTTTACCCAGCAGCACAGGACTATTGCAACAGTAAACAGCACAAAAGAATGAAAAGCATCTCTGGAGAAAAGAGTGGAAAAGAGAAGCTTCCCCCTGTCCTTGGCTGGGATGGCTGCATTCCTCAAGCAGCCAAGAGCTGGGATGCTGGCGACCGACAGAGAAAGCATAAGACTGGAACTACACTGAATTTGCAATTCATTTTCAGGCATTTCATTAGGAGAGGAAATGATAAAACAGAGGCAAGCAGTGGAAGAAGCCATAATCAATCAGCTCGTTAAGTATTAATGCAAAGCAAAACAAATCCGCTGATGTGACACGGGCTGTCGAGAAGCCACAATACTAATTATCACTCCAGTTAATTATTGTTTGTGTGGCACTTTAAAAATGTAAAGCATTGTGCGTGTGCTGAAGCATATTAACATGACCACAGGCTGGATGTGACTGTAGCTAATGCCTCTGGGATGAGTTACACTCATCTATTGTATTTCTGTCTGACAACAGCGCTCGTGCTGCAAGGAGCCCTGGCTCTCTTTGGGCCAGCCGTGGGGATAGCAGTGTTTTCCATTCCCTCAAACCCATGGGTTCAGGAACGTGACTTTGCAAAGCCTTATATCTGGCTGGGAACCTTTGCCTTCAGGCAAACTCTAGTCGAAGTTACTGATGTGACTTTGTCTCTTAAGAGATTTTTTAATCACTGAGTATTCATCTGTCACTCAAGCTTCAATGCAGTCATTCTTTCTTTCTTTTTCATGCTCCCTATGGTTATGTATATCAGAGCAGAAATAACTGAAGAATAGTTATCTTATTCATTCTATTTTCAAATGCAGTAGGACTCTATTTTTATTAGAGGGAAATATACATTTTCCATCACATGCCAAATACAGCAGTCCTAATAATTGCTATTAAACTTAATTTTCAAAGTTCAGTTTCAACAGCATAATACAGGAGAAAACGTCTACTGGTAGCTAGAAGCGTTATCTCTCAGTCTCTGTCTTTATCACAACAAGTAACGTGTCAAAGGATTTTCACTCTGAATTAAATTCATTTTGTTCACAAAAATTAATGCACATTAAATTTCTTCCCCGGCTTGATAAACAAAGACACAAAAGGAAGGATCCTTCTTCCCTGTTACTGATCTTTGCCAGGTGTAATTAAATTTAAAGCATAAGAGCTTTAAGGAAGAGCTGTGAGTACAACTAGTGTTGCTTGGGATATGCAGTCTCTGCCTGTCCTGCCAGACCCCTCCATAGCACTCCTAGCAGGGGATCTCCTGCACTGACTGCGTTCTCTCTGCAGGTGGTTGGGGAGTGGAGGTTCAGTCGGATCCACTGTGATATCTTTGTCACCCTCGATGTCATGATGTGCACCGCCAGCATCCTCAACCTCTGTGCCATCAGCATTGACAGGTGAGGGCTCTATGGTGACAAACCCAGGGCAGCTCTTGCAGGGTAATGCAGGTCTGTGCCTCCCGCTGCAGGTACACGGCCGTAGCGATGCCAATGCTGTACAACACCCGCTACAGCTCCAAGCGCCGGGTCACCGTCATGATCGCCGTGGTCTGGGTGCTCTCATTTGCCATCTCCAGCCCAATCCTGTTTGGCCTCAACAAGGCAGGTGAGTTGTGCCACCTGCAGCTGGCTTTTGGCATCTACCTGGCTCTGTGGGGTAGAGTGCTCCTTCCACTCTGGATGCTCTCATATAGAGGAGGGGGATGTTGGTGCAGGTCCGACAGCAGGGACAGCGAGCCCGAAACCTTCTGTCTTCCAGATGAGAAGGAGTGCATCATTGCCAATCCTGCCTTCGTCGTGTATTCCTCCGTTGTCTCCTTCTACGTCCCCTTCATCGTCACCCTGCTGGTGTACGTGCAGATCTACATGGTGCTCCGCAGGCGCAGGAAGCGCGTCACCACCAAGCGCAGCAGCCAAGGCCTGGACTCGGACACGCATGCGCCGCTGAAGGTAAACTCTGTGGCTTCCTTCCTTCACTAAAACCATGAGGGACTCTTGGCTCCATTGCTGCCTCTCCAGAGTAGTCTCCATCCTAGCACTCTAGTCACATTGATTAATATCTGCTTCATGCCCTGTGCTTGTGTTTCCACGTGTCTCCCCCACCAGCAACCCTTCCTAATTACTATCTGCTTGTGTAACCTATGAGCCGGTGCTTGCCCCTTAGGACAAATGCACTCATCCAGAAGACGTGAAGCTCTGCACAGTTATTGTGAAGTCCAATGGGAGTTTCCAAGTTAATAAGCGCAAAGTGGTGAGTGTTAAAGAGAAGTGGTAGTTTTTCAGAGCACTCAGCTTTCCCCTTTTCTCCCTTCTCAGGGCTCAAAATGAATTTATGCAGTGTGGGAGAAAAATAAGCTAAGAACAAAGGTTACCATTCAATCTCAAAATTTAAATATTCTTCCTGTTCCTTAGAGTGAAGCAGGGGGTTTAACACCACAGAGCTCAAAAAGCCAGACTAAGCTCACCTAAAGATCAGCTATAAAAGCCATGACATTTTAACAATTTTTGTCTCTTTGATTTTCTTCTCCTCTCTATTATTTACTTTAAGTCTTGGACTGCCTTGGCTGTGTTGGGTTTTCTTGTAGATTTTGTTTTTATTTACACTGTTAAAACTGAAATCAAGTATATGAGGAGGGGAGACAGTATCTCTCCCATCTCTTAACCTCCTTGTGCAATGAAGGAGCAAGAGTCATTTCCTGCAGTTCTGTCAAACTCAAATGTATTCTCACATGTAAACAACTTTTAGACCTTTCTCCAAGGCTCTCCCAAAAAGCAGGGAGGGAGAAGAGATGTTGATTGTTCTTCAGCGTCATCCAGCTTCACTCACAATGAATGTAAGAAACGTTCATTGCTCCTCCCTGTATATTTACCTGCCTTATGGTGTGGGCATTTGCTTCTCATCCAGGAGGCGGAAAGTCACATAGAGATGGAAATGGAGATGGTGTCCAGTACCAGTCCCCCTGAGAGAACCATTGCCAAGCCAGCAGCACCAAGCAACCACCAGCTGGTTGTGCCCATCGCCTCAAGCCGGTGCACCTTGGACAGCCCTGGGAAAGTAGAGAAGAATGGACATGCCAAAGAAAATCTACACACAGCCAAGGTCTTTGAGATCCAGTCCATGCCTAATGGCAAGACGAGGAGTACTCTTCTCAAGGCTATGAACAGGAGGAAACTCTCACAGCAGAAGGAGAAGAAAGCCACCCAGATGCTAGCCATTGTACTTGGTGAGAGCGCACATTGGCTTCACCCCGTGTTCCTCAAGACAGGCAACAGCTAGTCAGGGTTAAGGCACCCAGTCTGAGTGCTCAACACAGACTGTTTTCCCAGGTTCCTAAAGGAACAGTTCCACTCAGTACATCAGAAATGTGTGTAAACAGGCAGGAGGCTTCAAGTAGGAAGGCTGCATCCCTCCAGCCAGGAATATGGCACGAGGCTGTACAGAAGGCTCAGGAAGCTGTCCAGCTGTTCAGTGTTTGCAGTGCCAAAAGACGGGGCAAGAAAGATCATGTGCTTTCTAATACAGCTTATAGCACAAGAGGCAGCATAGTTCAGTAAGAAACCGGTGCCTCTGAAGGCCAGAGGTTTTGATGCAGCCTATTTACAGCAGCAAAGAATTTCTTTACCACTTGGTTACTCAGGATGTAGTCAGAGACATAGCAACAAACAGAAGGTTTACTGTTCTCCTTCTCAGAAATTTTCCAGTTTTCAGCAATCAAGATCTGTCTCTTTCCTTTCCCCCCAGGTGTTTTCATCATCTGCTGGCTCCCATTCTTCATCACTCACATCTTGAACATGCACTGCGATTGCAACATCCCCCCAGCAATGTACAGCGCCTTTACGTGGCTTGGATATGTCAACAGTGCTGTCAATCCAATTATTTACACCACCTTCAATATTGAATTTCGCAAGGCTTTCATGAAGATCCTCCACTGTTAAAAGTAAAAACATTAACCATAATTTTAAGAATGAGAAAAAGAAACCAATGCCATTCACGCGCACAAACAGGCAGCCATGGAGAGGTCTCGAGCTCTTGCACTGGGCATGAGGAGCGCAGTGCCGTGGAGCGCCGTGCCCACACGCCTCTTGGCAGGGACATCATGACCTTCATGCTGAGGCTCTCCCACTCCTCGGGGCGACCTTTGGGCTCCGGGACATCCATCCCAGAGGCACGTCTAAGAGTTACCCTCACACTGTGTTTGAAGTGGAAGCAAAAATCGAGACACACTCGCTTGATTCTTGCCTGTGGCCATCTAACCTTGAGTGCATTAAACACAGACACTCGCAGAGCCGCGTGCAGGCAGTGATGAGTCACTGCTGCTGGCTCGTGCATGGAGTCACCGATACGATTCTCACCAAAGACAAGAGCATCTTTTCCGCTTTGCAATAGGAGCCAACAGAGCTTGCAGAAACTCCGTACAATATCTTTGCCTTCACCTCCAGCTGACTTACCCAGCATCAAACTGCTGCAGCCCTGAGGGAAAACACACCTACAAATTTAAGAGGTCCCCAGGTGGGTTAAGAAGGCTCTGCCACCTACAGATCCAACCCCTGCAACAAGCAATGGGCAGAAGGAGAAGAGGGAGCATAAGTCTCATGCAGGACCGCTACATCAATGTAAATACGAATAAATAGGATGAACTGAACAGAAGCCCAAGCCAAAAAATAAAAGGAGAGAGAAGTTAAAGAAGTGACACTTTGTACTGCACAGTATGCACTCATGTCAAACAAGACACCAACCATCACTGATTGTCAGCCAGCCCAGCAGCAATTTCTACCCACCAGCATTTCATCTCCAGACTTTCTCAAGAAGTAAAAGCCAGGTGAGGAGCGATAGCATGATGAATGTAGAGACATGATGACTGTGTCAGGAGAGGCTGTGCATCTGGGGCCACATCTGTTTCAGATGTGAACTTGGACAGGACAAGTTAGGTCCAGTTCTTTCCACCTAACTTTAAGGCACCATAAAGCCAAGGATCACCTCAGATATGGTTTACCTATGTTTCTCAACAGGGAGTGTGTAACGCCGTGCCTACTTCAAATTAATAGCAAATGAGATCGAGACTGTGATTTTGGAAAAAAAGCCAGAATAAAAGCCCAAGAATGTCCCTAGCTAAACCTGCTCTGTGTCCAGGTGGGACTCTGGATGGGTCCGGATGTTTCCAGCATCCCTTACCCTCTGCTATGTTTCATAGTTTAAAACAAATGGAAATCCATAACAGCGTAATGTCACCACGATGACTCTGGCATTGCCAAATCCACTCTGTGCTTATCGTACTCAGTTCACAATATATTTTGTAATATCTCTGTAAATAAAATACAGTAAGATGAATAAAATGACATGGAAATAGGTCTGGCTAGAAACTGATGTAGGCTCTGGAGAGCTTCATGATGACAATAGCCATATGCAGAGGCAGGCTCCCTCGTTCCAATCACCCGCTCTTTCCTGAAGATGTTAAAGCAATCCAGAGAGCAATATAATCCCCTTTTTCTCTATGCAGTTTGTGGAATATCCACTCATTTTCTGCTTTAGATCAGACAAAGACCGCTGCCAAGCAGCACTTTTTTCATTATCTGTTCTTCCTATATAGTTAACAAAGTGTTTTCCCATGGGATGGGCTGCACAGGCTGTATGTGTTCCAGCTGTACATCAAGGAGAGACTGTGTCAGGTGGCTGTAACACTTGCTCTCAGTCGTCTTCTGAAACCAAGGCAGGAGTCCCACCTTGATCCGAAGCTTTCCCATCTAATCCTCTGTTCCTGGAAGAAGCTGATAACCAGTGTTATTAGTATTTTGCCCATGGGCTTTTATAACATTTGAACATGGCTCTTCGAGGTCTGGTCACAGCTATAAATTTAAATTACAGATGCCTGAATGTGTAACTCAAGAGGTCTCAGGCACAGAAGCCAGAGAAGTTTCCACCAGGTATGTGCACGTATTGATGGGAATCAATTCAGACTGGTCTTAATTGAAAGATTCAAAGAATCACTGGATGAGGAAAGAAAAATTGATAACCCAATGCTTATTTTTCTATCACATTTACAAAAGCAGAAATGTGCCATTTGGCTCTGTGAATTCCCAGCTGAGGAGCTGAATCAAAACGGAAAATAATATGCATGTACACAAAAAAAAAAAAACCCAAAACAATTAAAGCATTTGGAAGTCACCATAGGTGATATTTGCTCTTTACTAACGCCTGGTGTGGGCCCTGAAAATTACCCAGATGTGGGTAAAATGTCAACCTTGTGCCATAACTTTACCTTCTGCTCAGTGTTAACTCAGGATGGGACAAAACCACCATCTGTACTTGCTTTCTGAATCCAGCTCAACACATCCAATTTCGCATTCATCTGGTGATGAACAGCTCTTCCAAAACACCATGGGGAGAAAGAAGTACTCAGAAGGAGTCTGTGTTCTTCATGAATTTGCTAGTTAGGGTAAAGAAGGATGGGTATATTTTCATAGAGATTATGTATCTTTTGAAAAGAATTACCCACAACCCATCATCATGGGGAGACCTCATTGCGGCCTTCCAGTACACGAAGGGAGTTTACAGGCAGGAGGAGAATGACTTTTTACATGGGCTGATAGTGACAGGACATGGGACTATAAAAGAGGGGAGATTTAGATTGGATTAGGAAGCAATCCTTTGGTCAGGGTGGTGAGGCTCTGGCGCTGCTGCCCAGAGAGCTGTGGGTGCCCCATCCCTGCAGGCACTCCAGGCCAGGTGGGATGGGGCCCTGGGCAGCCTGAGCTGGTGGGGGGCAGCCCTGCCCATGGCCGGGGGTGGCACTGGGTGGGCTTTGAGCTCCCTTCCAACCTGAGTGTTCTGAGATGACCATTAATTGCAATGAGGCTTTAAGCCACCTGCTCCTAACGCTCTGGACTCAGAGGCGTTCTATGGGAATAACTGTATCTCTGCTGTCCTTGGGAAGGAAGCATTGCCATGTCTGCTCAACTCCTCTGCAGCAGGTTTGCCTTTCCCAAAAGCACCCACTCTTAGAGAACAAGCTATAGCACTTCCCGTCTATGAACCAAGCCTCCACAGCTCTGTGAGAAGATGAGAGCTCCTGTGGCTTTACACAGAATGAACAATTGCCAAGAGCAAGAACAGCCTGCAGTGGCACAGCACCTGGCATGGTGACATCCAGCCCCGAGCTGGGCAGCTCCTCACAGCAATAAGGCAGCTGGAATGCACAGGGCAATGAGGTCTCCTGCCGCAGACCTGGGCACAATACTGAATACAATTTGAGAAAGGTTTCTTTCTCTGCTGCGAGGTGAAATCTGCTCAGAAACACCTGTTACAACCCTTTGCTGCAGTCCTTATTTTGTGATTCAGTATTTGTGTTCGAAGCTTGAGTTCTGCTTATGGAGTCTTCCCATTCCTGCATTTCCTCCATGGCTCACGGCCCCATGCTGCGGTGTAGCAAAGCAGCTGGGGGACCTCCTGCCTGCACCGATGCTTCCCTGCTTGCTCCCGCTGCGGCTGTGGGTCTGTTGATCCTCCTGACCAGCTTGTTGAATCTTGCTGAAAGGAAAAGGAGAGCAGAAAAACAGAACAAAACAAAAAGCCACTACCCCTGTGGTGAACATCTCCAGTGAAAACACGGCTCCTGGAGAGTCAGGAATGTACATTACCCATCATCAGTACATGTGACGGCAACAAATGTCCTCATCCAGCACTGTAATTAAAGAGAGACTTGCAGAAGCTACTCTGATGTCATCTGCTTGTTTCATTCTTTTACCAGAAGCTGTGACAAAGCTGCTTTGCTGTAATGGGTCGGTCATACATCATACAGACACAACAGGAAAGGATGGGCTGTAGGTGAGACCTTGTATTTTTTCTGACTTGCTTTGCAGATCAGTCGCGTTTCTTCTTTCTCCCTTATCTCAGTTTTTGTCCAGGAATCCCAACTTTTGTCTAGACAAAGCGTCAGATGTGGGAAAGAAAGGGTGCAGAGAGCCAGGCAGAAAAGGCTCTTAAATCTCCCCATGTCTCTTCTGGTCTAGACAGAGGCAGACTGGGGAGGGAGGGATGACAAACAGCCGGGCGCAGTCGCACTGGTACTGCTGGCACAGCAGCTGCCTGCAGTGACTTCTTGGCTCTGCCCGGCCCGCAGCAGCACAGGCTGAAGGCGGTGATTGAAAGGCACTGCTCCCACCAGGACACCATTCATCTGCTTGGCCTGCAAGAGTCATGAAAACAGACAAAATGAGCCAAACTCATCCACCAACCTGCCACCAGTTTGGTGCGCAGCAATAAACAGTCCTGCGGAATGAACAAATTCTCAGTCTCCTCGTGAAGAAAACACACACAGAGCACTATGGCACTGCAGGCAATCTGTGTAGGTACAGTATTTTTAGCACTATAGCTATGTAGGAATGCATATGCCCAAAAAACCTAATTCTGGACCTCACTGCTCTGAGCCCACCCAAGGAGAGAATCCCCACCACCAGCAGCACTACTGAGGACGAAGGAAGGGCTCACAGGGAGCTTTTCTCCTCCTGCCTTTCTCTTGTCTTATGCTAGAGACTGCTAGAATGTGTGAGAGATGTTCATTTAGGAACATTCGCACTTGTGCTGTGCTTATGCCACACTGTTTCCTCGTGCCAGCTGCTGAGATATTTGACACTGATGCAGGAATCAATCCAATAGATGCGCACAAACCTCAGCCAGGCTCAGCACAACAGCAAGACCTCAGCCTCAGCCTTGGCTGCCACACCACTGGGGTTCTCTCCAGGATTAGTTTTCATTATACGACAAAGCAACCACAAAACCCAGCAGCTGTTCCTGCTGCCAGGGCAGAGCTACCAACATAGAATTCCGCTTGATGGCGTTTTGCTCCTCGGCATGAACCAAAGGCCCCAGTCTACTCAGTCTTGAGCCAAAACAGGGCAAAAAGAGAATTTCTTTTTGAAATTGAAGTTTTACAAAGTAA